CCATATCTGGAGAATATGGTGGGTGGAGGAGAACTTCCCAATCGAACTCCATAATCTTGTGTTGCGTCAAACGTGCCACATGTGGACGAGCATTGTCGTGGAGAAGAAGAACACCTTTCCGATTGATGAGTGAAGGGCGTTTCTGGTGAAGGGTTGGATTTAAACGTTCCATTTGCTGATTATAGATCTCTGTATTGACAGTTCGCTGTGGATTGAGGAGTTAGAAATGAATTACTCCTTTGATGTCCCACCAAATGTAAAGCATCTGTTTCTGTGGATGGAGTCCAGGTTTTGGGGTCTGAAAGTGTTTTTGTCTAGGACTGAGCCATTGTTTTGTTAATATTCGTATAGAGAATCCATTTTTCATCACCGATGACAATTCTATCCAAAAATGGTTCACGCGCATTACACATGAGAAGAGACGAAGCAACGTTCACGCGTTGGAAACGATGATCATCGGAGAGTTCGTGAGGCACCCAAACACCTTCGTTATGGAGTTTTCCCATATTCCTTAAATGTTTACGTATTGTTTCATGAGTGACATGCTTTGATTGCTTTCTTCAGGAGATCAAGAGATTCAATAAGAGATGGTGGATAGTTAAACATTTCACACCAGACAAGCAATGAAATACTGTAATTTCGTTTTACATTGGCTTGGTTAACTCCTTCTTCGCTCTTTTCTGCTAACACGTCAGCATCTTGTCCATTAGTTCAGTACATAAAATGTATCCATTGTAACTGTTTAGTAAAAACAAACAACAACAAAAAAGACCTGAAATATAACGTTTGATAATGACGTATATCCTCACGCTAGAAGTAGTGAAATCAGAAATAAGAATTTGTTGATAAAGATAATGATTAAAACATTTTCTAAGACGCTGTTTTCGAAGATTTTAGCTTTATGTGACAAAACAAGTGAACCCTCGATGAAGAAAATCGATCAAAAAAATAAATATTTGATATTCATTTTCCAGTTTTCCGCAAGGATTTTTTCTTAGAAAAAAAAAGAAGATAATTTCATCAAAGATTCTGTATATTCCACCGCGAGGATTTATTTCTTTGAACCTTTCGTACGCTAAAAGGTGTGCTTTTCCAATAAGCATCATACTTAATTAAATTAGATTACAATTTATTTGTGGTCAAACCTCAGATCTAGTGGACTTGTATAAGTTTCACCATATGTACCAAAATCACGTGCCTGGTGATGAAAAAATGCATGTGAATTGTATCGACTTCAGTTTGGCCTCTTTCTTACTCTCTCTCTCTGTGTATTTTAACATGTTGAAGGTAACTAACCAGATGGGTGGAATGAAATATTTCAGTCACTGTGTTAATATGAAATTTCTATGACTGTTTTCTTCTGAACTATAAAGAAATGCTTCTCTACTTCCCATGATGGGATTTGTTCGTTTGTGTTTAAGTGCAAAGCTACACAATGGGCTATCTGTAGTGAGTACATCATATATTTTGGCCTCCAAGTTTGAGCAAGTAAGCCCTCGAGCTTACCGCTGAGTCACTGACAGGTGCCACGACACGAAGAACAGTGTTCATGCCGTAAAAATCGTTCCGGAAATTGATATGCCCGTTTCTATGTTGGAAACAGGTGAACACATTATCTTAACAGAACATTGTTAGGGAGAATACGGCCACATCCTGGTTGCCTTTAATATTATTGGCTTCAGTGGTATTGATTTTCCCACAGGAAAAAAAGTGCTATGTTAATCCCTACTAAAATGTAAATATATTGCAATATTTGTGCATAACTGTTGTTGCTGTTTCTTGGTACATTTGTGAATATGGAAATTAGAACGTTTAGTGTGAATGTATTCGTCGTAAAGGCTGGCTGTGAAACAATATTTTAAGGTTGGATTGAAACATAAAAGGTTTTATCTGTTATTCCTGTTTTATTAAATATTCTCATTGAACAATAAAGAACCTTCCAGGACTCATCTGTGGACCGGGTGTGAACGTATTGTTAGCGTGCCTGGATTGTGAATTCGAATGTTCACAGCTCGCACATTTTAATCACATGGTACACAGGATGAAAAGGTTAAAAATCACTGTTCTAGAGAGTTTGGCTTCAAACTTTAAATATGATTTTTTTCAGTTTTTAGTAAGAGATAATATAAAAAGAGTTCAAATTGAATACTTTCCTAACCAGAGATCCCTCCATTTTCTTCTTATGTGAGTAAAATCGTATAGCGAACAAAGTTTATGATATAAACAACAAGAGGGAATCATTTGTATAGGTTAGCAGATCAATTTCTTGTAGTTGATATTTAATTGGTAAATTTTTATTATAAAAACAGGTGAACACGTGGTTTGTTCACCATTAATTATTCAATTATAGTTAAGTGTAAACCTTTCCATTAGAACACCAAAACTCCAAAATACTCCTTATAAACATCAGAACAAATTGTTAGAAAAGTTTCATCGTAATTTAAAAATTGACAGATAAATATAAAAAGAATATATTATCACAGAATAAATTAGAAAGCTTTTCAAATGCATAAACCTCAAAAAGTGTTTGTAATTAAGCACAAAACTACATAATGGGCTCTCTGTGCTTTGCCCACCACTGGTATCGAAACTCGGTGTCCAGCGTAGTAAATCCGCAGACATACCACTGTGCCACTGGGGGTGGGGGGAGGGCAAACTTCTGAAATTAGAAACCGACTGGTGCTTTCAAGATGAAATCACAAGTTATTTCAACGCAAGTCTAACTATGGACACGCGCCAGGAGAAAAGAAAAAAGGACTACATTTTTGAAACTACCAACAACATATGGATGACGTGTCATAAAACACTTTATATACGACAGTTGAAAATACGGTTTATTCTCTGCTTTTAAAAGCAAAAAATTTCTATATGACCTAAACAAAAAAGGTTTTTACTAGAAAGTTTGATTTGATTCCAAAGCGAAATTCGGAGCTCTTATTGGGAAATATCATGAGTTTGTTGATTTAAAGCTGTATTTATTTTATGAATCAGACAGGTGACTGTGAACAATATTGTTTAAACTATTTCGCAAAGTTTGATTCCTGATGTCATGACAATAGTCAACGTGTCCAGTGTTTTCACTATCAGGTGATATAAAACTTGGCTTGAAATGTAAGTTGTTCAGCTTTGTTATGTACACACACCAACTAAGGTGAAAAAAGCATGTTTTCCTGTACTGTTTGATAACTAAGAAAAGAGGAAACAGGAATACTATGTTCACTGTAAGTGTCAGTCCTTTCAGAATAAACACAAAAATCATATATCGGACAATAATCATACTGGTATATATACAAGACTAACTCATACACTTGGCTATTTACAAATAGAAGAAGTACAACGTGTAATAACTATCATGATGAAGGCACTGGTGTTGCTCATAATGGTATCTACTGCAGTAGCTTTACCGGGAAAGTACTTTGTATGGTTCTCATGCTGTAAGTTAATATTTGAAAAATTCTTCTTCCTGTAGTAGACGTGAATCTGCGGGATTCTTTGTTTTTATGATTATTTTATATTTACTGACTCTTTTGTAAGTGATATATCCGTACTTACAGCATGTTTTTCTTATCTACGTTGTCTTCAACTATATAGGGTTTTTGTTTGTATTAGGAGATAAACCTGTACTGTATTGAACTTCAGGATTAGTGTGTAAAATGTTCCATGATTCACAAGTTGTTGTGAAAACTGTTAAGAAGTATTGAATAAAACATCTTAGTATATAAAAATTTTCCCTGATCCTATATAAAACACCTTCGTGTGTAAAAATGTTCCATGATCTTATATAAAACACCTTCGTGTGTAAAAATGTTCCATAATCGCATAGAAAACACCTATCTTTGTGTGTAGAAATGTTCCATGATTCTAGATAAAACAAGTTGTTGTGAAAACTGTTAAGAAGTATTGAATAAAACATCTTAGTATATAAAAATTTTTCATGATCCTATATAAAACACCTTCGTGTGTAAAAATGTTCCATGATCTTATATAAAACACCTTCGTGTGTAAAAATGCTCCATGATCTTATATAAAACACCTTTGTATGTATATAAATGCCCAATGATCCTATATAAAATGCCTTGTTGTGTAAAAATGTTCCATAATCGGATAGAAAACACCTATCTTTGTGTGTAGAAATGTTCCATGATTCTATATAAAACATCTTATTGTCTAAGAAATGTTCCATGACTCTTTTATAACACACATCACTGCCTGAGAACCAACATTCTATATTTCAGACCACATTATGTGTTAATGCTGCTGGTGTGAAGCTTTTTTATTTTTACATCATTTTTTGGTCCGTTGTATATATTTTTCAAATAAGAGATTATTTAATCAAAATCTAAAGAAATATTTATTTTACTTGGTTGGTAAAATGACAAAACGAAACTCAAATATTTTCACGTCATGACTGTAATATTTCTGTGACTAAAATATTTTCACTCATGACTGTAATATTTCTGTAACTAAAATATTTTCACGCCCTGACTATAATATTTCTGTGACTAAAATATTTTCACTCGTGACTGTAATATTACTGTAAGCATGTTCACGCCCTGACTGGAATATTTCTGTAACTAAAATATTTTCACGCCCTGACTATAATATTTCTGTGACTAAAATATTTTTCACGCCCTGACTATAATATTTCTATAACTAAAATATTTTTACTCGTGATAGTAATATTCCTGTAAATAAAATATGTTCACGTCGTGACTGTAATATTTCTATAACTAAAGTATCTTCACATCATTCCTGTAATATTTCTGTAACAAAAATATTTTTACTCTTGACTGTAATATTTCTGTTTCTAGATGCACCTAGTGACGTAAAGACACAGTTTCAAAGCTGTTTGCCAAATTTGCCTCAAACGGTAAGTTATCCTAGTTTTGGTTGTTTCAGAAGTCCTAAAACTTAATACTGGTGCGTGTTTTATGTTTTTAGTTACTCGATTAAAAGCCAGACCCTGGACCCAAGGCTGTTTAGTAAATACATGCAAATACGAAATTAGAAGCTGCGTAAAAAAACTATTCTGTTCCCTATAAACCGTTGTTCGTAGACAGGATCTTTGTTTTAAAACTATTCTGTTTCCTATAAACCGTTCTTCGTAGACAGGATCTTTGTTTTAAAACTATTCTGTTCCCTATAAACCGTTCTTCGTAGACAGGTTTATAGGGAACAGAATAGTTTTAAAACAAAGATCTGTTCTTCGTAGACAGGATCTAATCGAGTGCTATCTGCGATGGACTAGATAGCAAACACCACTCATCCTGAACTCTTGGAGTACTCTTTATCAACGAATAGTGGAAATGAAGGTCATATTACAACGCCCCAATGGTTGAAATGTGACCTTCATTCACGGTGACGGGTGTCCATCCCGCGATTGCGAGTCGAGCGCCACCAGGCCATACTAAAAGATGAGTAATAAAAACGATTTTCTATGTTACAAGTCGTTTTCCGTAGAGGGGTGAGTTTGAAGGAACACCTCAAAATACGAAGCTGCGTGATAAAAAGGTTCAAGAAATGAAAATAAAAATAGGATCTCTTGAAATTCCGACGTCAGTAATATATTTTGAAACTGTTGAGCTAAAATATTTTTTCTTTGTTTAGAAGTTCTTGTTTTCTAGCAGAAAGCTACACAAAAGGTTGCATTCTGTTCAATGCGGGAAACCGAACCCCCGATTTTAGGCAGCAAGCTACACAATAGGCTGCATTCTGTCCAATACGGGAAACCAAACCCCGGATTTTAGCGTTTCAAGTCCATTAACTTATCACTGACTCCCTGTGAGACGTTTCTGTGTCGTATTGAGCCCTCTTCACACACCCCGGTCTATTTATTTTGTGATAGTTTTTTCTTTAATCGAAGATACACCATTTAAACTGGCAAGTCTTAGCTACCAAATTTCGTGATGGAGATGATGAAGATAAATTTGAATGATAAAGAACACTCTGAGCTAGAAACAACAACAACAATAACTTTAGATAAAAATCTCTGTTTATTTAAGTTTCCTGATATTACATTACAAAAGGATGACACTAATATTTATTACATCATTTTTTTACTGGGCCCATACGGGCTCGAATTTAGAAGAATAGAATTGTACATCTTGCATTTCTTTCAATAGCTAAAGGTTATCATATGAGCTGGGTAAACAACACAAAGCTTTAGTCAATATGCTGTTTCGTAATAAAGTTATTATTAGTCATACTCTGACCTAATATTCCATCGATGCAATAAATCCTACTTCGCCAGTTTTGAAGTGTGTGGTTGGTAATCGCTTCGTTTAATGATTCACTTTGCAGCAAAGTTCATCACAAATTTCAATTCATCAGACCATTCCCAAGTTTAGACAACTTTAAATAAATAAAAAAAACAGCCTTAAACTACTTTAAATGTTATGCTTTCTTCTTTTGTTTTGTACAAGTTTTGGCTTCGTGTGTTTCAGGTGTTAGATTTATTTAAAAACTGTTCCGTGGAGCTTCGTCCCAGTTTCACACCAGCACAGTTTCAACAAGAGATCTGCACAAACGTAACTTTACAGAATCAGGTATGGTATTTATATAAACATAAAACAATTTTATTTCGCTGGCATTAGTGGTAACAGAATGTTGACTATTGTTTTACTGCTTTGTTTTTTGTGTTTTGTTTTTTTTAACCATATTACATTTTAGCTGTTTTGATTTTATCATTTAATTCAAAACTAATTTGCAAAGACAAAGTTAACGAAACGGCGAGAGTTGGAACTATTCACAACTAATTTGCTAACGGAACGGCGAAAGTTGGAACTATGATCGTTGAAAGACTTTGTTAAAAGGAGCAAAAAATAAATATTTGAGTTGCAATTCTTGACGGGTAAAGAGAGCTCCTGTTTTATAATATATCATTATATAAGAAATAATGCGATGAAATAAATAGTAGAGTAAACATAGCCCTTGTTATTCAATAAATTATATAAGAAATATTGATATTTCAGCCACGATACACATACTTGATACACCACCTGGTGATTGCATTGCATAAAATATTGCAATGAAATAAATAAAACTGTAAACAGGAGTTCTGTTTTCTAATATATCGTATAATGTACGAATTTAGGACAAACTTAAATCTCCTAAGCTAGCCGAACCTCGCGAGATATTATTGGGATTACGGCCAAAAATACTGTTAACAACAAGGGCACTTAACTGACAAAAAATAAATTCTAATTTTGGGAAGTAGAAAAATAAGGAAAGCATATTATATTACCTACACTGACTACCAGGTGTTGGTTTTTAGTTTCTCTTTAATTACATATCTTGCTCTGATAGGAAATAATATCAATATTAGAAATTCTGATATTTTAACCCCAATTCACATAATTAACACATCGCAAGAGGAGTAATTACCAAAACCCACTCACTGCAAAGAGGTAAGAAGCTGTGGGTATTGAGGAATCTGCGCGTGCGTGCTATCCTCTTAATTGGAAATGATAAAGTTAGCCGCGTTATTGTATCAAGAGTTAGACGAGAGCCAAGATACATGCACACAGTGGCGGGGCTACAGGAAGGCAATTGCTCCAGTTTTTTCTTGCCCCATTCTGTCCCCCCAATTTAATCCTACATACATGTAATGTGTATAACAACAAAACACGTTCGCACGCGCACTATCGTTTTACAATTTTTTTTCTTCTATGCTAGAAGTCAACCAGATATATCCTACTATAATACGTATTACCTTTTAACCCTACTTTTTTGTATTAGTGGTACTACTACACTAAATAAATACATATTTCATTAAATAGTGCTTAAAATAACGCATAATAATAGCACGCAAAAAAGCAGAACATAGTCCATAACTATCAAAATTTTTCTAGCTGTCTAATTCTGCCATAAACATAGTTAGAAATTAAGCAAAGCTGGTCGATATGTTTCCTGTGGGAAGAAAAGTAAAACTGAAACCGAAACTACACATTGTCTGTTGAGAAACAAAAAGATAGTAGGATAATACGCCATTTCAAAGGAGGAACCCTTGATTTTCTATTGGTTATATTAATATTGGATTAAAAGTCAGAGAAAACTATTGACAAGTTTTAAAAGGGAGGATTGAAATGTGTGCGTGGCAAGAGGGGTCTGATTTTCTATTCCATAGCTCTGTAACTAATTAATATTAGAGGCTATAAATATTATGCTTTGCCTGAGCGATGACAATATTATACTTTACCTCCCCCCGCAAAAAGAGTTAAAAAGAGACTTAGGCCTGCCTTTCTCAGAAACGTTAATAAATAAGGTCTCCATACCGGTTTTGCGGTAAGCAGTTGTGTACCAAGCTATCTTCTACGCTTTTATTTTGCGCCTCAGTACTTGTTTCGAGGTTATGCTTCAAGGTTCTTGGTCAAGAGGTCGCGGGTATGTTTAAAGTTGGTGTTCTGCATACATGTATAGACACATCAAGTCTTACTATTGAGAAAATGGATATCAGAAACTTTTGCAAAAACCCGTGTAAACCATAAGATTACCAGGAAGATGAATCTATGAAGGAGACTGGTGGACCAAGCGAGAAGTGCCGAAGGACTGAAGATGAAATAGTCGTACCTGAGGACCCAACAGAGGATAGACTATTGAACCAAATAAGCAATGTGAATACTTCTGCTTATATTGGATAAACCCACCAGCGTTGGAGAATTACACGAGCCGAGTAGCAGCAATGGAAAATCAACTCTGCCAAAGCCGGCTCTTGGAGTAGGTGGTCTGGCTGACATAACTCAAACGCCCAATTGACCAATTCGACCTGGTATTAATGGTCCCTTCCGTTTTCCAAAGACTCATGGACGACATATTTCAATGGTATAAGACATGTCCTTGGCTTAAATATTCCGCATCTACTGACAGAACTTACTGATTCGTCTGTCGTCATTTTACTACAGGTGCTAAATATCAAGGTGAGCAAGCTTTATGTTTGAAAGGGTTCAATACATGAAAAAAGTGCACGGATGAATAAAAAAACAATAAACTTCTCAAACACAAGAAATCTGATGCACATTTAAACAACACGTGCAAATATAATGTTTATTTAAAATCAAAGCTTACTGAGAAAACAGTAGTTGACCGCATTAATGCAATTCACAGACTGATTGTGGAAAACAAATAGGGAATACATCAAAATACTTGTAGACACATTGAGACTTACAGCTGTCCAAAACATAGCTTAGAGGGGTCATCGTGAAGGAAACACAGCTGAAAATAAATGAAACGTTTTAGAAATAGTGAATTTCTTGAAGACTTATTCCCAGATTTTAAATGATGGGCCCAAAAATGCCAAATATACGCACCATAGTGTACAAAACATCATTTTGGATATCCTCAGTGATATAATTTTGGACGAAATAAGAGAAGCTCGGTATTTTTCAATCTTAGTCGATGAAACTAAAGACCTATCTATAAAAAACAGATGAGTTTGGTTCTTTAATGATACAGAAGGTTGTGAAGAATTTCTTGGTTTTAAAGTCGCTGATGAACTCGACGCAAAATCGTTGGCCAATCGTTCTGGAGAAGTTAAAAGACAATGTACTTGATGTCACAAACCTGATTGGTCAATGATATGATGGCACCGCCTTCGGGAGTAGCAAGTGCTCTGCGGTTCAATAAAAAATAAGACAAATCGTACCTCAAGCCATCTACATTTACTATTTTGCTCATCGTAGAAAGTGTGAAATCTGTTACACCTGAGACTGACGTTTCCTCAACACTTCAGACTTTCTACAATTTTTAATTGGTTCTAGTATTCACGCACAGTGGATTGCTTTCCAAAGAAGAAAAGACGTACACCCGAATGAAAAGTCTGTAGAATTTAAACCATTGTCGGAAATACAATGGGTTTGGCCCCCCAGTGGCACAGCGGTATGTCTGTGGACTTACAACGCTAGAATCCGGGTTTCGACACCCGTGGTTGGCAGAGCACAGATGGCCCATTATATAGCTTTGTGCTTAATTACAAACAAACAAACAAACAATGGGTTTGTCAGGTGCGTGCTGCAAGTACAATTGTGGCAAGGTTTGACCGTTTTATTAAATTTCTACAACATGTTGATATAAGTAACAGAAATCGAGACCATGCATCAAATGCCCGATCCACAAATTGACCAGACATTAATATACTGTTTCTGAATGACATCTTACGTGAAGCAAAGGTAGCGTCAGATGTGCAGCAGAGTTCCAAGTTAGATAACTTGAAAGTAACAGATCTCATTGAGACTCCTATAGCAGGGTTGAAAACCAGCAGGTGTGACGAGAAAGCTGCATATTATTTTCAACGTTCTTGTGACATCGTTACCAGAAATGGCCTGGAATATTGATATTGGCTTCAGGCACAAAGTTCCACTCCCTCAAAAATGGACAATTTTGTAGCTCTAACCACACTTAAGAAGCGGGACGCCACACGAGATTCATCTGATATGAAACGAGACATCTTGTTTCCAACCGCTGATAGTTTTCTTGGAGAACTAAACAAATCTCCAAATGTTCCTCTCCCTGTCGGCAACTGGCCCCAAACCTAAAACAGGTTTCTCGATTTTGAGACTATTAAGCCTCTTACAGCCCATTATTATAATGTAAATGAAACAAGCTAAGAGAATGAATGAATGTTCAAGTGCGACATGTGTAACAGTCGAAGAGTTTGCAGAACATCTCAAATCCCTATTTATCGCTTTTACTGAACTTTACAAGGTTATCAAGATACCAATAACTCCTAATTAGCACCGCCGAATGTGAAAGGAGCTGTAGCAAGCTAAAACTGATCAAAAACCACCTTAGAACCAATATGGCAGATAAGAGACTGAAGAGTTTAACAGTAATAAGCGTGCACAGGAAACGTGCTCTTTTCATTGATATTGATGATGTTGTTGACAGGCTCGTTACAAAGTTTCCAAATACAAGGTTAACATGGGTTTAAAGTCGAAGAGGAGGATTGTTTCGGTTGGTGTCCTGATGAGTTCATGCTTTTAACCATTATTTATCCACTTTTAAAGGAACTTATTATCCCCCCCCCCAAAAAAAAGATAGATATGCTAAAATGATCAAAACCTTCTGATCCTTTCCAAGGTCTGTGAGTACTTTGTGGCTTCAAAACTAAAAAAAAAAATTACTTTTTAAGCCTAACGTTGGCTCAATGTAATTTAGCACGCTAACATTTAGGGGAAATAACAAGTCCCTTTAAAATTACACGTGAGTATAAGATGTATTGTTTTGCTCACAAAATTTTGGCTTGCCCCTCCCTCTAGTTTTGGTGCTGGCGCCGCCACTGCATTCACGTGAACTCAGAACGAATGCTGATGTGTTAGGTCATTCACTTGATTTTAAATTTTAGTTAATTATCTCACTGTGCATTTCATTAGAGATTATATTTAAAAGAAATAAATATTTTTTATATTATAACACGTTTTTCCACACTGTAGGAAAATTTTAATTAGAAATATCCATAATATAAACAAGAAATGTTTTACAATAGACTTATAATGTTTGTCTCTTTATTTTTCCTCTGATTAGACAACAATGTGCATTGGAGAAAAAACTCTTATTCAGATGGTGAGTTCTTTATTAAACAATATTTCCTTTTGAATCTCATTTCTGTGAAAATCTCATTTCACCAAACCAGTGAAAATACTTGGATCCCAAACTGAGAAAGTAAGTTTCCAAAGAGAAACCAAGTTTAAAGTCGAAAACTCTGTAATTTAAAGCACTTTGCTGATGAAAGAACTTACTTGATTTAACCTCAGATTCCATGCTATTTTGACCCTTTGGATTCATTTCTGGTAGCAAAGAAATAAGAGGCTCATTGTTTTAAGTATTGAATGTTAATATAATAGAATTTTCAGATTGAGCTAACATGTAGTAATTCTATTTGCATTATTTGTAAGTTTTATACACATTGTAATATTATAATAAGAGTTTATGAAAGCGTTTTTAAGAACGCGAATAACCACGTGTATTATCATCTTTTTGAAAGTACACAAATAAGATTTGACCTTTAAGCAAATTATCAAAATTCAAATCTATTACCATAAAAGAAATATCTTTATATGATTAAGTGTCCTTTATAAACAGGAGTATTTTCAGCGTGATACAATCTTCTAAGTATGGTTTTGGTTATCTTTCAAAAATTGGACTTTCATTCAAGACAAGAGCAGAAATATAAACAAAAACACAAGAGTTAAGCGACCCTGACGTATAGATTACAAACTACAGCTTTGAGATATTTGACTTTTGAAACACATTAGTATCATTCTGGATTGCCTCACTTTAAGATTACACTATTATTATTTCACTTATTTATTACACTAGTAATTTGGGGGTTGTTTTACTTCAGATCAAACTGGTACTATTTTTGGATTGACTTACATCCAAAGTAAATCAGAACGAAACAGTAGTAGTGTTATCGAAAAAAACTAGTACTGTTTTGGATTGACTTACTTTAGATCACGCTAGTTCAGGTTTGGATTGTCTTACTTTGGATCGCACTATTACTGTTTTGGGTTGACTTACTTTGGATCACACTAGTGCTGTTTTGGGTTGTCTTACTTTGGATCACAGTGCTGTTTTGGGTTGACATATTACATATTTTAATATCCAGTAGTTTTACATGGAATTATCACTCTTCCTGTCCATAAAATGAGCAGAATACGGGTCTCACTCACGTGGATATTTTAGTGAATGACAAATAATTAATCATTACTACTTAAGAGTGAGAATTAATCCACTACAGGCACAGGAAGAAATAGCTTTTTTTGTTGACTATGGGTAAAATTATCTAGAGTTTATAAGAAGTAGAAATAATTGCTTGTTTGTAAAAATAAATATTGTTCCCACCCTGATTTCCTCATACTCTTCGTACTTAAATTTCTGTAGATGTTTTAAAAAACAGAAAAACAACGAATCTTTCATTGTGTACTAGCATGACAAATTCGTAAATACAATGTATTCTAAATATTAAGTTATTCTCTGTGTATCTTCTAGTGCAATGGATTTTCTGAAGATGATTATGTCAAAATGGAAACATTTGAGGTGAGTCACAAAATAAACTAATTCTTAATTTATTAAAGATTGTTGACAAGACACATAAAATACTTATATTTTACATATTGATTGACACATGAAACACTTGTATTTTACGTTTTGATAAGACACATAAAATAATAATTTTTTACGTATTGATTGACACATGAAACACTTGTATTTTACGTTTTGATAAGACACATAAAATAATAATTTTTTACGTTTTGATAAGACACATAAAATACTTATATTTTACATATTGATAAGACACATGAAACACTTGTATTTTACATATTGATAAGACACATGAAACACTTGTATTTTACATATTGATAAGACACATGAAACACTTGTATTTTACATATTGATAAGACACATGAAACACTTGTATTTTACATATTGATAAGACACATGAAACACTTGTATTTTACATATTGATGAGACACATAAACACTTGTATTTTACATATTGATAAGACACATGAAACACTTGTATTTTACATATTGATAAGACACATGAAACACTTGTATTTTACATATTGATAAGACACATGAAACACTTGTATTTTACATATTGATAAGACACATGAAACACTTGTATTTTACATATTGATGAGACACAGGAAACACTTGTATATTACATATTGATGAGACACAGGAAACACTTGTATATTACATATTGATGGGACACAGGAAAAACTTGTATTTACATATTGATAAGACATATGAAACACTTGTATTTACATGTTCGTCAACAAAAGATATTTCTAAACTCAACTATTATAATATTTTCCACGATCATCTAATTTCAGAAACTTAATGTTACAGCTGATTTATTATAGTTAGTCTTTATTCAGAAATAAAATGGAAAATGTTATGGTTAAAACATAGTTCAACACATGTATCATTTTTTCATTTATGTATCTAATTATGCAACTGAAAATATGGATTCATAATGAAATATGATGAAAGCAACAAAAACTTAATTAACACTTTGAAGAAACTTGAGCTGATCTTTGAATACTGTGATGTCTCACAGAGGTTTATAACATCGTCTAATGATGAATAACTTAAATGTTACGAACTTATAAATAAAAATGTCATTGTTGGAGCTTGGCTGAATTTTGAGTAAGTTCTAATAATCGTATTATTCCTTTAAGACGAACGAAGAAATAATAGTCTTAACAAATTTATTGTCATTCCATAAGTTAAGCGCCCCCCAGTGGCACAGCGGTATGTCTGTGGACTTACAACGCTAGAATCCAGGCTTCGATACCTGTGGTGGGCAGAGCACAGATAGCCATTATGTAGCTTTGTGCTTAATTACAAACAAACAAACAAATCCATAAGTTAAGCAGCCACTTCTTTGAGAAATATAAAATTGTGTATATTTTGTTAAAATCTCACTAATTCGTTTGAGTTGGACATCGCACTGAATAGATTTTTCCTTACATTGTTGGTCTAATTTTTTTTTTTACTTTTATTTCTAGAAAGACCGTAATCAAAGTACAAGAAAACGTTTTTTCATATTTGAT